CCAGGTAACTCAGCTTTGTATACTTCTCCACATCCTCCTCTACCAATGACTTCAAGTCTTGCAATTCCTTCTTCGTTTTGCAAGAAAGCCAAGTCCTCAGCTCTCTTAATGATTGGACTGAAAATTGCCAGACTTGTGTCCTTATCCCCTCCTTGAATCCAGAACTTCAACATCTTAAAAACCACAGATGCCACGAACCCTGATATACTTCCTGCAACAGTTCCAGCAAAAAACCCAACAATCCAAGCTCCAATCTTCTTTTTAGCCTTCTTATGATGTTTGTGGACCCCCGCGGTTGTGGATGGTGATGGAGCTTGAGTTAAGTTTTGATTTGAGCCCACCCCTGGTGCTATTGCGGGTGCTACTGCTGAGGTCTTGTTACTCCTTGATGAATTTTCAGCAAAAATATATCGTCTTGGGACAATATTAACTTCTGTGGACTCTGATAAGGAATCATCTCCATTTTGATTCGGAACGGGGATAGGACCTTCCAGTAAATTGTTTCCGGAAATATTCAAGAACCGAAGATTCCGAAAAGATCTCAAAGACGGAGGGATTTTCCCAGCAAACAAATTATCTGCCAGAGAAAGCTTTTCCAAGTTAGGAAAATGTTTCAAGAATCTCAAGTTTCCTGAAAGCTGATTAGAAGAGAGATCAAGAACCCGAAGCTGAATCAAGGACGATAACTCCGTTGGAACTTTGCCCGAAAGTCGATTGTTTCGCAAGTCTAGAACTTGAAGCTTTCGACAGTTGACAATCTGAGGTGGGATTTGATCAAGAAGTTTGTTGTTCGGCAGTGACAGCTCTTTGAGCTCAGAAAGTCTACCAATTGCAGGAGACAAAACTCCCCTCAACTGCTCAGACTTAAAAACAATTCGTGTGACTTTAAGCACAACTGAACTGTTTGAGATTCGCCGTTCGCAGGATATCCCAGCAGAGTTGCAGGGACACTCTAGGCCACGGCGTTGACCATGAATGCCCAAGTCTTTTTGAATGATCGAGATTGCTTCATAGTCTGATTTGTCAAGACTCAGCTTTGATTGAACAAGAAGGATTAGAGTGAAGAAGGTGAGAAAAATGATGTGGGATTTGGCGAGGCGGAAGGCCATTGGTTCTCAGCCTTGGAGGGAGGAGGAGGGCCAAAGAGAGGTGGCTAAGCGGAGGAAGAAAAATCAAAAATGGTGATCTGAGCTTGGATTGGTGCTGGCTAGGAGGGAATGGGAATGGTAGTTTGCAATTTTTATGATTATCATAATATAATATAGTTGAAGGCGGAGTAGACTTGGACTAAGGACTTTGGAAATGTTGGGTCATTTGGGCCCATATAGTGGAACCTTAGGTCCAATTCAAATAATTTAGGATGGTTTTTCTCATAGCGTTGACATCTGAATTCCCCCTTTTAGCCTCCTTTTTATTATTTAATTCCCTTTTCCAACCTCGTGTTACCGACCAATCATGTCAGCTAGCCTAAGAAGTGTTGGGATTCTCCATGATTGGTAGACTAATTGTAAAATACAGCAGATGGCCATACTGTTGGGATGCATTGCATTAAAAGTAGTAAATTTGTTGTGTTTATGCACGTTGTTGTATTACTGCCTGTATTCATTACTGTAATGTCTACGTCTATGTATGTAATCGCCTACGTTACAGGCAGCCGCGGAGCGAGAAAAAATTTTCAATTGAGAGTGTGTTTAGATTGTAAATTATTTGAGATAACTTTGTAAAAAAGTACCGTAGCACTTTTTTGATATGATGTATATGAGATAAAAAGATGATTGAAAAATGTGTTTATGATACAAGTAAATCAGTGCGTGTAAATAAATTGAAATAATTGACAATCCGAACACAAAATTTTTTACCGACTCTTTTTTTAGTTTTTTAAGTAAAAAAATATTCACCAACGAGTTGAAATAAAAAACCTTTTTTTAACTCACTTCAAATGGAATTTTATGACCCACATATCCTTTTAGAATATTAGTTCATTAATCAACTTAGAAGACCATGTAATCCTTTCACTTCCTTTATAAGAAAACTTTGGAGACACACTTGAAATTATATCAAAATTCTATGAATATTATAGGAATTTACGGAGGCAGTGGAGGCCCATGCCCCCGTGTCCCACCTTAAATCCACCACTGTTACACGGTACAATTCTATTTGTTAACGCCCGGAGAGATGCAAGTCTAATCACAATTAGAAAGCCTAATAGCATTTTACATTGGTTAAAATTTGAGAAATTAACCAATGGACTACCTTGTACTTCTACACCCTTTTGTGCCTATCAAGTTTTCAAGCGATGGGACACCGTGCGTGTCATGCTGGACAGGTTAAATCATGGGTTTAATTACAAATTTCGATTAATTGATTTTAACTGGCTTATAAAGTTCCACATATATATAAACTTATCCAATGATAAACTCTTTAAAATTTATAGAATAATTCTACGTCTAGCTTTATATTCATCGGTCACCATGAAAGCAACATCTCATTGAATAGAAAACTGCACCTCCCTCTAATGACTTGGAAAAATCTTATGTCAAGATTAACGTTGGGTTCGGGGCACAAGAATGGCTCGTGTTGATTGGCTTGCCCCTTCAAGACCGGAGTCTCAAGTCTTTGAAGCTTTGCTATCCAAGAATCAAAGGCAGGAATTATTCATGACATCATTTGTTGAAGCTCTATCATTAGAGGATAATTTTTTTTTTACATTGTCTTAAAAATGTATTGTTTTCCCTCTTTATCATTTACTCTTTGAAAATCTGTAATAAATAATAAGTCAGAGCCTATGGCTGGTTCTCCACCATTTCTAGGTGATTTAATAAGAAAAAAAGTTCCAAACCGAGACAGGGTATTATTATTATTGGGGTAGAGCTGTTTTGACCATCCAAAAATGAATGAGTTGTAGGAATTATGTTGCATCGCAGTTAAGGGCTAGTGAGACCTCTTTCTATGACTCTTCCCTCCTTAAAAGTTGGGGCAGCCCTCCAACTAGGGTGTGGTTTGGCACCACTACTGCTCAATGAGTTTTTCATTTCTTGAGTGAATGCCTTGCAAGTAATTCTTATAGCCATCAAGATTAAAAGCTTTTTATATATATTGAGTTATCTATTTACTTAGAGTCTCAAAAACTAGCCAAACTTGTTTATATTTCCGAGCAACTATCAAATAGATAGTCTCTTCCTGAACCAATTAGCCTTTTTCTTATTCAAAAATTATTAAAGAAATATATAAGTGCTCAATATATATATACATCCTTCCAAATTTGCATAGGTCACAATATCAATGTGTCTATCAACAAGGGCATGTTTAGGCTTCACAACTCTTTTAACTTGCCATTTCAACTCTTTCACCCTGATGAGGGAACACTCATCATGAAATTTGGTACTAGGCTTCCTAACAAAAAAGAAAAGTGAGGGGCAAAAGAAAGGAGAGTTGTTGGGAATTGAATTCCTTTCTTTAATCAATGTAATGACTTTGGACCTTTGGTGGCAAGCTTTGGCTACTTTCTTCAAAATCTTAAGGAGTATAAAAGGCAAACACTCATGCTAATTGTAAGCATGGCACTAATCAGAATAGGCTGTTCTTGTTTAGTTTTTGTTCCTTTCTTCATCAGTGTTTATTTTACCATTATTTGAGAACATCTTGAAACTTCTAAGGTTCAATTTTCAGTTAAACAGCACAACTCCTGCATTTTCAAGCACTGTTTTGTTGGTGGAAAGAAGCTATTATTGACATTTAGTTTGGGTTGGACGATACACTTCATGTTACATAAATATTTCTTAGCAAAAAGAATTTATAATTGCACTTTTCATGTAGAATTCGATTTTCATTTTTTTTTTTTGGTTTCTTTTGCCGTTGCAATCTTTTGAATACATAGTTATCAATGCATTGATCTTCAAGGGATTCCCTTTATTTTATTGAAACAAACAAGCCTGCAGAAAGATTCAAAGAAACATATCTTTGAATAGCTCAAGTTTCTGCTTGCAAAATTGTTCCACACCTTATCATCATAAAGCTTGAAGGAAAGCTATCAAAAGTCGGGGTTAACAAGAAGTTGCAGACGGAGTCAGCCATCATCCAATGGTGCAGCATTGATTCAATGACCTGATACAAACATTTTGCTACCTGTTTTCTATATGCCTAGCAAAGACGGAGGAGCTACATGCCTGCATCAGCAATGCAGCATTCTGTAATTCTCACGAGCCAGCACTTGCAGATTGAGGGTATGGATCCTAATAGCTTTATACTTATTTGTATCATCTTAATATCTTACAACTGATGAACATAGTGGATATCAAAAGTTTTAGACTTGATCTGCTGTACCAATACAGTTTTAACTAGGACTATGGCTACAGCTCCTACTCTTGTAGATTGGAAAGACGATTAATCACCAACTGCAGAATCAACGACTTTGTCCTAGATATTGAAAATGATGGCAAATAACATTATATTCTCTTTTCGGTGTTTTTTCTTCATAAAGGGACGGCTAGACCAATAATATATGGCATATGACCACTGATTTCAGCCAAGTCTTGAGTCACAACTCAACTTACTCAGTCCAGAAATAAATAAATGATCATTTTGTCTTTATACAACAAGAAGAAGGTTGGCAAAATCCATGAAAATTCTTTAACATGAATGGAAAACTCATACATGAACTTTTCTTCTTGATAGAAAGCTTGCAGAAATTTATTGGCGACTGATTACTGCTACGTGCTATCTTGTTTGGTTGCTTGCTTCATTTTTGGTAGTGCTAGCAAATTATCTTTCCTCATTATTCCATTTATTAGTGAAAAGTCTGTTTTACTGTGCAGAAATAAAACAATGATGCCATTTGACTATAACATGATGGAAGATTACTTTCCATTCAAGCCTAAAATTCAAGGTCCTCCTGTACTCTGGATATAGCTTCAGGCTGAGTTGCAGCTTTAGAAAGGCTTACAGGATCCCATTAAGGGAAATTACGCCATCAAAGTGTAAGATGTTAAATCATGCCGAACTCCATGATAATGTTTAAGCGATTTATAGCACATTACCAAAGCCAATAATGAGATATAGTTTTAGTCTAGAGCAACTACAAGCCCAGGTGCTCTAGACAGTACATAAAAGCACTCAAACCGTTACCTTACAATAACCTGATGGGAATATCATATCAGATCTATATTGCAAACCAGAATTACCATATTATAATATGGATTAATTCTTATGACACAAACTAGATAATTCAGGTATGAGGCATGATGTCTCTCAGTCAGTGCAGCAACGATACATGAAGTACTTCTCCATTTGACGGCCACATTCTGAACAGACCACCAGCTCTGGGATGCCGCCAGCAGTCCCTGGAAGGATAAGGCGATTGCAGTGGTGTGGCGTGTGAAGGCGCTTCAAGTAGTCATTGAGTGCTGGGACAAAACCTTTTTCTTTTGCATCATCTTCCCAATTTGTGAATTCTGCAAGGCTTTGGGACATTGTTTCACTCTTAGCTCTGGCCATCTCAGCTGAGCCCCTACTAATTAGAGCCCATCCTTCATCACTTCCATCAAAGCTGAGGATAGTCATTACCTCCTGCATTATTTTATCATCTTGAGCAGTCTTTCGGTTTTGCATCTTTGAATATAACATGCTTTCCACTCTGGTCCAAAAGTACCAAACATACGTTGGATCACTCCAACAGTGACCGAGATTTTCCTCTGTTATTTGAGAATTGATCTTTCGAACACGTTCCTTGGTGTTATTCTTTCCCACATAAACCATTTCCAAGCTAATGCCTGCTGCCTTAGCAACTTCTCGTGCTGCTGTTGTGAAGCTTCGGATCCATCCGATGTCCTCCCCTCCATACAAACAGATGAATTTGTCTTGGATAATCTGTAGCAACAGAACAAAAAATTACTTCTCCTCATTAAGCAATCTGGGCTAAAATTAGGCTAACTTTGTCATTAGTTTCATTTTGCCCTGCATATCAGAACAATTTTGCTTTTTAAATTTCAATATTTCACACATATGGCATACGTTTTTTAGTTTACTGGATCTATCTAGCAAAAATGTTAAAAGTTACCCATTCGAGTATTGCAGGGTCAATGCCATCCACCAATAACTCAAGCCTCCAAGTTTCCTCCTTCCACGATTGTTCCTCTTTCGTTAGGGTGAAGGGATAAGCATGATTTCCCCATATCCACACCATGTGCAGTGCATTTGGACAAGTCACTTTAGCTTGTGGATCCAATACAACCAGCATCATCTTCTTCTCAAAATGCCACACTTCCTTGATGTACCTAGCTACAGCTGGTTCTAGCAAGGAAGGGTGATGCAGTGTGTACCACGGCATTGCTGACTGCAGCTGCTTAAACTTTTGTTCATATCCTTCATTCCATGTAACTGACCTTTCCACAATTGGTAGCCATACAATCTCATATTGGAACTCTGGCCTTGATCGTGCTTCAGTGTAAATATGTGTGAGCACGGGAAGCTCTTCTTGGGAGAGATCTAGATCTGAAATGAGCAGCAATACAGTCTTTCTTCTCAACACATCAACATTTGCCTGTTTCAATGATTAGAAATAAGATCCAACTGTAAAGAAAAAGAAATGAACTGAAAAGGAGAGGACAACAAAAATTGATGGATATGTGTCAGAAAGCAATTAATCAGTGAAATACCCTTGTCTTAGAAGTGCCAATTTCAAGAGGTAGTAGGTCATCCTTGTTATAGATCAATGCCTTGAGAATCCTCAAGTTTTCCAAATGTGGTACCTCGAAAAGATGCACCAGCATTTGAAAGTATTCAAGATGCCTCTTCTCACCTGCATACGAATCATGATCTTTTAGTAAAATTCAGAGAATACTGCTAACTTATTTGGAAAGCGATTAAGTTTTTGGATACTGATTGGTAATACTTTGCCTACTGCATCATCTTCAACCTTTTTGAAACAAAAGCAATGAAAGCATTTTTAAGAGTAAGATGAGTTAGAAGCTTCCCCTAATTTAATTTTCATGTTAAGTGCTTTTCTGTCAAAGGATTTTGTTGAAATGTAAAATACTTAGAAACGCTAACCAATGTGTTGAAAGCAATTGGCTAGCTGTGTCTTAAGGTGGCCATGTATGCTGCTCAGCTTGTGGGCTAAACTTGTGAGTTCCCATGTCTCTGTGGTAGATCCAATGAGCCTGTGCTTGCGCAATGTAAAGTTGTTAATTGACATCCAAGATTAGTTAATCTAAAGTTATGGCAGTGTATGTTTGTTGAATGACTTACTCATAACCCATGCCTAGTAGGCTTGTTATCAGAGAGGCACAAGCCACCATGCTTCTTATGGTCCAGTAAACAGAAGCTGGGATATGAGCTAAAGCAACTGCCATTGCAGGTGTGTCATCTGATATATATTGAGCTGGGAGTTCCTTGAATTCAACAATGCACTTAGTTACATCCAGCATTGCTTTGATAAGGTTACTAATCGCATCAAACCGGGATTTCAGCACATTGGAATGCTCCATGATGTCTGGAAGCTGTTTAAGAACAGCTATGGACTTGGCGAGTGGATTTGTGGCAAACAGCTTTGCAATGAGCCAGAATTCCCCATAGTTTACAGCAAAGGCTGCCAATGATAGAACTCCCTTTGCATCCCAGGTATAGCTCGAAAGCATGTTTAGGATTGCCATTGTCGTTGCATGCATATCTCCACCACCAGAGCATTTGCATTCTAACTGCGAAAACATATCCACAAACAATTTTTCACGACTGCTTTTGAGGCACTTTTTGTTAAAATGTGGATACAGAAGCATAGAAATCAACCTCGCAGGAAATTTTTTGAACTATATAAGCCAATCCATCTAAAATTCCTTCCATGCCAACCAGTGCAGTCCTTTCCTCCAGTTCATCAGCACCTTCATGATGTGTGCCCTAAACATCGCATAACAATAACATTAAAGTCTGTACCTATAAACCAACTAAACATGATTAAATTAAGGCATGCCAATAATGCAAAAATTGAAGAATGGAAGCATACATTAACAATGCCATCAATGCCAGGGGAGACGTGATGCAGAAGAGCCTCAATAATTTGCAGAATAGGTTTGACTTCAAGCTCACGTCCATCAGGAGCATGAGTTGCGTGAATTTGTTTCATCATTGCAGCATCATCAGATGCTGTGAACATTCCACGGTCACGCCTGATCATTTGCTTATTCCTAGCAGGCTGAATAGCAGTTGCCATCTTTGTTTTTTGGTTCTGGGATACTTATGCTACAAGATGGATTTTCTTATTGCTGTGGCATTTTCATCATGCAATCCAAGCTATATATAGTGGATTAGAAGGAGGCATAATGGATATAAAGCCTGATTGAATCTAATACCTTACTTGTAGGGAGTGCAAATTTTCAAAGCCAAATTTGCTAGTTGGATAAGAATTTACCTTTGGTGGCCCCTAGAATGGCTTTCCGGTAGGAAAGCTTGGGATGCATGAGTTAATGATTAAGTGAACCAAAAAGGGGTGTTTTCCAGCAAAGCAATAGATTAATCTTAAACAGTAATCAGATATATCTATAGGTACAGTGTTAATCAATTCCTTAAAAGAAAATTATTTAGTCTGTTTATTTTGTAATTTATGTTTTCCACTGACACTGACGTTTTAAAACTAAAACTTTGGTGCTTATTACTGTCTCATGGTGTTAAAGAAATAATTAAGTGTTCCTAGCTACTTCATAAACATTGACTCAAGAAGGGTTCCTAGTTTTTCTAATCCAGTCACTGCTCTACCTGAAACAACTTTTTTTTTTTATTTGTGTAGTTTTCCAGGCAGCAAAGAGCAAGAAAAATGTTACAGTAAAAGTCTTTGTAGATACAGTGTGGTGTAACGTACTAGCACTGTAACATTTCCATCTACTGGACCAAGACAAGAAATGGAAATAATGAAAGATAATTGGTATTATCAAGGTGATGGTTGATTTTTTTGTCTCTACATAAAATTGTCTAATTCCTTTTAACCTAAATTTAATGGAAAAATGATGATACATATTTCAGTTAGCCTAGGTCCCTGGCTGCAGCAATTTGAAAAGAGCTGCCTCAAGAACCATATTTTTCTTTTTGTGTTAATCTTTTTCAGGTTTCTGTCTTTTGTACTACTAAGCACTTTGATTTAACTAACCATCTGAAAACTTTGTTAATTGTCCATCCATGAAACTATTTAAGCAGGTGGAGAGTATGACTCCTTGAGACTCGAAATCTTTTGCTTGGATGTTGGAGGAAGAAAACTTCATCAAGCACATCACATTTAGCTAGTTTTGTCAAGTTTTGCTTAAACTTATAGAAGAGTTGAGCCAATCTAATTAGTATTGACACCAATTACTGCTTATTTTACACATCTAGTTACTCAGATTTGGATAGATGCATCAAACCAGTGGAATAGCGATCACCTCATACGTCAGATTTGTCTGATGTTTCAAACTAGGAATCTGATGAACATGCTAAAGTATTTCCAGAAGAAGATATGAATCAAATCAAAAGGGTCAGACAAATTCTAAAGCAGGAACATAAACAAAGATGAAGAAATTTAAATAATGATCAACAGGAAGAATCCGAGGTAAAAAGTGCAGCAAACGCAAGATCTTTCCTTGTCATTGCTTCATAATAACTTAATTACTGATGACTAAACTTTCTGAGGCTGCAATTGCTCACCTAAGCAATCATACATCAGCAGTCTTAAGTCTTTGGAAACTCTTGTGTTTAGTAATCAAACACATGAAAACAACTTCACATGACAGAAAAGATTGATCTAATTACCTTACTTAGTTCTTTATCGCTTTAGTAATCAAAAGCAAAAGCAATCAATGTTCTACTTGAATGTTCATCTAACTTTCACTATTCCATCCGGATGGGACCCCACCATACGGTGATACCCCTCCCCACCACCATAGGCTGGCTAGGTTGCAACTGTCTTAGTGGCGTATGTTGGCATGTTTTCATGACAGTCAAGTCATATATGGTTCTAAATGCTGCAGAGTAGTTTATTGAGTAGTATTACACAAACTGCAAAAATTGAGACTAGTGTATAGAGAACTGCTGTTGCAGACAAAATGTATGTTGTTTTATATCTTACAGGTTCCTTTTTCATAAAACACTAGCCAATCTCTTCCAGGAACTTGTATTTTTTAGTGGAATCTTGTATAGATTTTTCTCTTTTTCAAGTAGAACTTAAACTGGTTGAAACCGCTGGCACCCTCTAAGTTTTCCAAATCATTTTCAGCCCCTATTAAGTTTTGAAGTTCTGGCAAAGAGTCCTCCTCTTGCCGCTTCCAGTTCTTGATAAAATTTCATATATTATTCCTCCTTCAGCTAACTTTCGCCTTGACAGAAAGTTTTAAATTCAACCTCTGTTAAGATTTTTTTTTTTTTAAATTTGGATAACATAATTGTTATTATAAGATATTTTTACTATGCATTCAATGCCACTCATTAAAAATTTAATTGTGTTACAAAAATTTTCTCTAAATAGTAAGATTGCATGTCCATTTGCATTAGAATATATTTCTTTACATTTGCTAATCCTTGCTATTCTACAAAAGTGCCAATGGATGTTTGCAATCAACTCTGCGCATGTACTCATGCTTTCTACCTATAGAGTTATAGGTACAGATATAGATAAAGATATAGCAGATACTAAAGCATGAGGACGTTCAGTACCTCCTACAAAATTTTGTCATCAAGAAGTTCTTTTGAACTTCCATCTTTGAGAAAAAATCCTCTCCAATCTGGTCCAAAAGAACCAAACATATTTTAGATTAGTCCAAGAGTAACTGAGAGTTTCCTCGGTGATCAAAGAATTGATCCTTCGAACACGTTCTTTGCTAATGTTCTTTCCCATTATCTTTTTCGGTTTACACCCATTGTCTCAAGTTTTGGATGGAATCAATCCGTTTGACACACTTACTTGTAATTCATCCCTAGTAGGCTCATGCTTCTTATGGTCCAGCATACAGCAATAGGAACATAATCTAAAGCATATTCCATCGCAGGTATGTCTGATCTGTACTGAATTGGGAGTCTCCTGAACTCAGCGATGCGCTTAATTATATCCATCGTTGCTCTGGTAAGGTAATTAATCACATCAAACCCGGGATTTCATAGCTATGGAATGCTCTAAGATATGTGGCATTTTTCTAAGAACAGCTACAGACTTGGCAAGTGGATTTGTGGCAAACACCTTTCCAATGAGCCAGAATTCGCCGTACTTTTCAGCAAAGGCTGCCAATGATATCACTAACCTTGCACCCGAGAATGGCTACAAAGCATGTTCAAGATTGCCACTGTTGAAGCGCCGACAGAGAATTTGTACACCAACTGCCAAAACATAGCCACAAAAAGTTTTTCATAACCAATTCTCAGGCCTCTGTCTTTTAAGATGTGGATGCAGAAAAGTAGAAACGAAACACAGAGCGAGCAAACTTTCTGAACCGTATAAGTGAATCCATCCAATGTGCCCTCTGTGCCAGCCAATACTGTAATTTCCTCCGATGCATCAGCATCTCCATGAGGCGTCCCCTAGAACATCATATAACGAACAAATTGACGTCAGTATTGCAAAGCCAACTAAAGATGAATAAACTAAGGTATGCACAATGATACAAAAATAAAAAGAGACATCACATACTTGTAACACCATCAATGCTAAGGGAGATGTGTTGCAGAATCGCCTCGATAATATGCAGAATAGGTCTGATTTCCAGCTCGCGGCTCTCAGGATCATGAGTTTTCTCAATTTGTTTCAGAATTGCAGTATCATAAGATGCTGAGAACATTCCATGGTCAAGCCTGATCAATTGCTTAGTGTTAGCAGGCTGAATAGCAGTTTTTTTTTTTTTTTGGGTACTTTTGGATACTTATGTAACAGGAACAGGATGGATTTTTTATTGCAGTGGTTTTGTTATCATGCATTGGAAGCAACACAGAGTGGACCAGAAGAAGGGATTACAAATTTCCAAAGCCTGATTGAATCTAGTACCTAATTGGCAGGGACTACAAATTTCCAAAGCCAATTTTCCTATTTGGAAGAGAATTCACCTTTGGTGGCCCCTGAAAATGTCTTTACATTAATAAAGGGATGCATGATTTGGTTATTAATTCATCCCAAAAGCTGTAGCTAAGCTGTAGTTCCAACAAAACTACAATTAATCGACAGCTTTAATCAGATGCAGCTACAGCTAAAGCTTTAAACAACTTCTTAAAGGCAAATTAGTGAGTCTGTTTATTCTTTTAACCAATTTTTTTTTCACTTTCAAGTAATACTTGGCAGTTTGGAACTAACTAATCATGCTTAATGTCTTATGGCGTGGCATACAGAAAAATAGCCTTGTTTGGTTTGCAGATTTCCAAAGAAAAATTTCTACGTTTTCCATAACCATATTTCTTAATCACCATTTTATCCCACATATATTAAATTATTGTAGTATATTTTTTTACAAAAACTCTGGCAATCCAGATGAAAGTACTATTAGCTACTCCACTAATCTTGACTCAAGAAGGGTTTCAAATTTTCTTTTTCTTTTTTTATGATCAGATTTGTATATATATTTCAGAGCAGAAAATTAAAATGATATAAAAAGATTTCAGAAGAAAACGTAATTAAAAAATGAAAAAACAAAAGGGATGATCCAAATTCCAAAAAAAGAAGAAAAATGAAAAGATGAGATAACAAAGAACAGAACAATTGGAAGAATCCAGGAGAAAGCATATGATCTCATGTCAGTGCAGAGTGGAATGGTGCAAGATGTTTTTTCCTTCATTGCTTAAATAAATAATTAAATAGTACAAACTTAACTTTTCCGAGGCTGCAAATATAAGCAACCAAACATCAGCAAAATGTAAAAGTCTTTGGATTAATTTTTGTGTTTAGTAATCATCAAAACCTTGAAAACAACTTCACACGAAAAGGATTGATCCTTATTAAATTAGTTAATTCGTTCTTTATCACTTTAGAAACCAAAAGCAAAAGCAATTAAAGTTATACATTTGGAAATTCACCCAACTTTCACTCTTTATCCAATGTGGGACTGGAAAGTATCCAATTAATTAAGGCAAAATTTTGAATGGATGGGGTGAGATTTGGAATATTCGTAAGTTCCAATTAAAGTTGTGCGGCTAAATAGTATACTGATTGTCTTGGATGATATTGCTTATTGATAATGTGTTAGGTTTTCTATTAAAAAAGAAAAAAAAAAGAATTACAAGGCAATGTACATTGTTGAGCAGACGATGTACATTCACTTACAATTTATACAGTT